GTCCGTGGCGGACCGAGAGGCTCTGATTTGCTAGGAGAAACGGAAATGCTTCGTGTTCAGACGGACCGGACCGGTCCGGTCCGGTCCGGTCCGAAATTCTCGGATCCACTCGGACCGATCCGGACCGGACCGGACCGCGGACCGTCCGCGGACCGGATCCTTTGTGACCAACCCTGGCTATAAGTATTTATTCGCGTTTTTTCTTGCTTTTTTTGCCGAATTTCCCAAGTGGTCTTTGCCCCGACCGGTGGACTTTATGTTTTCCCAAGAGTTTATACCCCCGCCAGCTTCTCAAATAAGCCAATTAGGCGCGCACTTTTAGTACAATGCAAATTTAGTGAAATTAATATAATTACAAGCATCCCATCCCAAGTCTACCACTTACCCGTGACATTTGGCTGGAGGACGGCTCGGTAGAACCCGGGCAGAAGCTGAAAATGGGCCGGGTCGGCTAGGATAATAGGTAGCAGAATGGCTGGGAGTAATAGTAGTTGGCGTCCTCTCGGAATCATCTGAAGCCGGCGTTATTTTTGACGGTAATCATCGAGCAAAGAATGAATTTTTGGGTAGAGCTGTAATTTTACTAAAAACAGCCTGGTGTGGTAAGTGGAAGAAAAAGAAGAAGCGTAGGTACTTTCGTAATATACGGCGTTTCATGCTTTTCGGAACAGCGTAAAGGACTTGTTTTATAGCGACTTGTTTTTGGGGGCGGCTTATGCTTATGAGTCAGCGGTGGGTCAGCTGCTAGGTGAACTTTTTTGGACTTGGGCTTAGCAACGCTAGAATCTAGTATCGAAGAAAGTAAGCTTTTTAAAGGGGCGTTTCCATGGTTCAGTATTTGCCCAGACGCGTAGCTGTGCGTTGCGTCAGCGTGAATTAGGCCTGAAGACGTGACGCGCCCGTTATATGGTCATCAGAATTTTGGAGGAGTCACTTTAACACCGTTGTTAGCGCCAGAAAATAAGCGGTTGTTTCGTTTTCTGCCCATTAAAAATGAAGCTGCCCATTTCGAAATTCAGTATGTCGAAATTCCAATACGTCGAATTTTTTATATAGATTTTGGTTTTCCGTCAAATTTGCTCATGTGAGTTTCGACATGATGGTCGACATTTTGCAAGTAATTCGAATTTTGGGATCAAGCCTTCTTTTTCAAATTTTTAGGTCATAGAGGGTGTGGTCAATCTTTTTTTCAGGATTTTGCAAATTAGTAAAACGTAACAAACGTTGTTTTAGCCCGTTCTCTAACCCTAGCGGATCGATAACGGGAGTCGACCCCGGTGATCCATCAACAAGAAAATAATGGGATCGGGGATCGGGAGAGGGAAAAGTGGGGGGCAGAACGAGGAATAGTTATCACCGATCAATGAATCAAATCGAATAAAGATAGATATTTAAAGCCAAAAAAGGAAATCCGGTAGCATATAGCGTTGTTTCCGTAACGGTATCGCTTTCCCCCGCGCGAATCGACCACCCGAACGTACACGCTGGGTTCCGGTCCCGAGGGCGGAATTTGCATTGTTGAATGGGTTGAGGGAATGAGGGAGATGGAGAAGTGGATCGCGTTGGGCTATGAGTCATAACCCTCAATTCGCTCTGGCTCTCCCTCTCTCGCTCTCTCTCTCTCTCTCTCTCTCTCTCTCTTCACCCGTCAACTTTCACCACCACCTCGGCTTTTCCGGTCAGAAAACCCGCGGCTGCTCCGGTGGCCCGGGCGGTGTCGGCAAGGCGTTTGATGGATTATCAGAGCTCCCCAGGAATCTCTGCTAGTTGCCCTCCAGATGTTGTCGAATCTGAAGAGTTAGGCAGAAAAAAACCAAAAATCCCTAAAAATCTTTGCTAGACTGCCTTGGGATTAACGGGACCAGGTATAAAAACAGTTTGTTTGTTCAATGGGCGTAACACTCGAGTTCTAACGGCCCGGGTTCGATCCCCGCACGCTGCAAGACTTTTTGCTTTTTACTTTTTGATAACTGCAGAGAATATAATGGTTTTTTAAAGGACGAGTGAAGCCTTCCCGCTACCTCAAACCAGTTTTTCGCGTTTTCCGGCGGAAGCCCCGGAGCATCAGCTGTCCCAGGATGGGCGATTGATGATGGCTTTTGGCCCTAGCCGACTCGTCGCCGCTTACTCAGTGTGCATGGGGGCAAAAATAGGGCGGAAAAAGCGCTGGAAAAACACGATACTTTTGTAGCGACATTTTTTTTTTGACTAATTTCGTGGTGTAAAAAATTGATCCGTTTTTTGAAAAGTCAAACTTTAAAATTCTTTTAAAAATCGAAACCCTGTATAATGCGGTGTTTTCAGGAAATGTAATTCCAAAAGTTTGGCCTCAAATTTTAGCTTGAGTTTTAGTTTGATATAAATAGGCTTAAATCATGCTTTTTCTAGCGTTTCGAACCCATTGACCCGTCTATTTTCGGCTTCTCCACGTCGTGTCACTCCCAAACCGTGGCGGCGGTAGTGAATAGTGTGCGGTGGTCGGCTAATTGATCAGTGTGCCTTGGGGGCCATGTCGAATTACCCGTGTGCGGCGCTTGGTGCACGCCGGGAAATGCCCCCTTTTTGCGGTTGAGACCCAAAAAAGGAGGGGGAGATGATAATTTCGGCTTATTTGGGTTGTTTTCCGTGGTGCGCCTATGGGCCTCGTCGGGCTGCCCGGCCTTCCCATCAACACTCCCTTTTTAAAACGCTTCATTTTCAGCCCATTTCTGCCTTACTGGTCCCTTTTAAGCGAGGGTAAGGCACGGCTATGGATTTAGCTGGCTAAAAAGCTGCCGGTTAAAAATGCGGGCATGTTTTCTTTGCGTCGAGAGTAGAGAAAATCCATAGCATCGATAAGCAAACCTTGGCGATCTATTTAATGGACTAGGCTGCGGTTAGATCAACTTTAAATGCCAGCTTAGGTTTATTGTTTTGTGCATTTTATAGTGGATCCTCTTCGAGATAGACTGGTGAGAATTAGGTCCGTTTCTCTGTCGCTCTGGCTCTCTCTCTCTCATTCGCTCCCTTCTCTCTCACTCTCTCTCTCTCTCTCTCTCTCTCGCGCGCTCTCTCTATCTCTCTTGCCCCCTCTCTCATCTCGACAATTTCGAAGTGGTCAGCCGAATCAAAAGAAACCCTGAAAAAAGTCCATTCACGTCCGATATAAGTTTTTGTCTGCCACTTAATTAATCCCCTAGTCTCGCGCCTAATCCTGCCTGGCCAAATTGGAAGACCCGAGCGCTATTTCGTGACAATCCACGGCTTCCTCCCGTGAATTCAAGCTAGAGACCACAATTTCTCTCTCTCGCCCTCCCTCTCTCTCGCTCTCTCCCTCTCTCTCTCCCTCTCACTCTCTCGACTCTAGTTTCTACACTGCACCCCCTGGAATTTATATAATAGCAGGTTTCGTGGGCTGAATTACTGGCTGAAATTCTGCTTGGAATTATTTTCTCGAAATACACGCCGTAATTGGCACGACTGGATAATGGCCGGAAATCCAGCCTTGACAATCCCTTTAACACAATTGGATGGCTCGAAATGTTTTTGGTTTTTCGGCCAAATAAATCCTCCACGAGCAATCCGGGTATTTGGCCCCGCGGAACGTCCGCGTGAATAACACATTTTACGAGCCATCCACCCAGCCACCACTGCCCGAGGAGGTTTCACCATTTCTCAAGGCCCCGAAAAGGGCATCGAAACCCTTCGTTCATTTCGCTAAAATAATCTAGTTCTCAAAAGCCAATTTTTCCGATAGCTAGCTGAGTTTTTGCCCACTAAAGGCACGGGCAAGGCATAATTTTGAGCGCGCTCACTTGAAGCGCGCTGTCATCAACATTTAGGCCATTTTTTCGGTTTTATCCCTTTACGAGATGTATTCATATACTTTTCTGCAAGTTTCCAAGCCTGAAAATTGCTCACAAAAGACCTATTTTAAGATATATGCTTTTTTACCATTGCGACGCATCATGACTTGTGTCCTGTGTTAAATTCAATTTATTTTAATTCAACCTTTTTGTAGAAATGGAAATCTATGACGGCATCTCGCTAGCGGTGGCCATATTCTACAGCTTCTGCTTCCTGGTGGGGCTCGTCCTCAATTCGCTGCTCGCCAAGACGGCGTTCACGTCAAAGTATGCAAATAAAAAAACCCACTTATAACGTTAATTTTATGTAAATTCGGAAGACATAGAATGCTTATTTTTTAGAGACCTGCATGGCTTTTGTCATGTTTTGATCGGGATCAGGGCCGTCTGCGATATTATGCACCAGGTTTGGTCGAGCTTTCAAGAGTTCGTATTTCAAGGTTAGGCCGGTCATTTGCCGCTGCTGTACTCGCTGGTGTCGGACGAGGCGGTGACGCAACGGAATTGCTACTATTTACAGGTTTACGGCCTTTTTGCTAGTTTTTTTGATTCCAATATGCTACCATACTCGCGAGAATCCATTTTCCACTTTTCACTCCTATTAAAGGGATATCGACGGCATAATTAATCGGTGACGCAAGGGAAAGAAAAGGTCTCTGCGTCTCGCCCCTGGGCGCGTTCTCTGCCCTGTTGGTTACGTGACAAAAAGTCGATCAGGGGCAGGCCCGTAGGAGGGGGCCCAGGGAGCCCTGGGCCCCCCCCGAAATCGGTCGAGGTCCGAAAAATTCATAAGGGGGGACCCTTATGATTTTTAGTTACAAAAATTTTTCTGCCTGCGGCGCTGTTTATTACTGTTTTTCAAACAGTTTTTACTTATATGAAGCCTATTTTTTCAAAATTTTTTGCCTGCGGCGCTGGATTTTCATTGGTGAATCAATTGTTCATAAAAATTTTCGCCTGCGGCGCGTTTTCTGCCGTGTTTTCACACGCATTTGAGTGTAGCGAACGCTTTTTTGCGATTTTTTTGCCTGCGGCGCTATTACTGACGGGATTTTCGGATGTTTTAAAAGTGGCGACCGGGGGAGGTCGCCAAAATTTTGGGCCCCCCCCCGAAATTTCGGTTCCGCTACGGGCCTGATCAGGGGTCATCGACCTATGCCGTCGGTATCCCCTTAATGCACAAATCAACGCCTTGGCGTGGAGGAGAAAAAAAAATTCTGTAATTCCAGATCATCCCAATCCTCAGTATCGTCGTTGGCTGCACCAGTTTGTTACTTCTGTGCCTCGACCGTGTACGCGCGATACTCTGGCCACTCAGGTGGGTTTTACAGGGAACAGAAAGAGCGAAATTCGACCCTATCTTCGATTAGGTCTCGACAATACGGTAGAAGGGAAGGAAAACCGGCGTGTTTTGGCCTCGCGCGTAGCCGAGGAGCGGTATTGATTCCCCCAATATCCCCCCCCCTTAAGGGGGGGAAAAAAGGGTTTTTTTGAAAAAGCACCGGGGGGGGGGGGGGGTTAAAAAAAAAAAACCGGCGGGGGCCCACCTGCCAAGAAATCGTTTCCATGCCTTGCATGTCCCTTTAAAGGACTGAGTTTGACAAGACTGTTCAGCTACCGTCTCCAACGCGGTCGGGCGGCCTGTCGCACGTACACCACGTTGTTTCTATGCTTCATCGCAGCCGCGGGGATTCTGGTTATGGTGCAGGACGACAGCGACTCCGACAAGTCCGTCTTTGAGCCCAAGAGCCCAATTTCCTTAGAAGCGCCAAGCCACGGCGCCCACACAGACGTACATTTTGATCCTCCCATTTTCAGGCCGGTCATCTGCAGCATACCGTCCGGGCTCGGCCCTCGCCCTCGCCTCATCTTCGTCTTCCTCCTCTTCCTCACCTCCGGTCTCATGGCCACACTATACTTTGTATGTGCAGCTGTTCTCCGGACGCATACTTGCTCCAGTAAGTCTTCGTCAGTTCTCCCCCAAACGTATCTTCAGACAAAAGACGGCGCTGCATCTTCCGTTCGATCCTGTGCTGTGCCCTCGTCGCCCTCATCGGCCTCGTTCTCACAGCCACCGTAAACCTGTCACTGATCGTCTACGCGGAATATGACGTGCGACAACGAAATCCGGCAGGTTTGTCGCGGACCTTGGGTTCGAGGCGTTCAGATCCATCAATAATGGCCGTTTCAGCCAGTCGTGAGCCTGGGCACTTCCTTTTCCTCTCGGCAGCAACACTCGAACTGCTCGTCCAGAGGACGCCCCGGTGTCGAGTGGTCGAGATTTGTTCGGGCATCATCCTCAATGCCCTCTGCTCAGCCAACTACTGCATCTACTTCAAAATGAGGTTCGGACTGCAAAAACGTAGAGAATATATCCACAAAAATAAGTACATAAGTGATAATAAAATCGCATTTCAGTTGCGACTACCGAAGAGCCCTCAAGAACCAGTGGCAGCGCATCGGGTTGGCCATGCAAAACTCCGAATCCGAGACAACGGAAGTGCAAAGGAGCATGTTATAACGACACCTTACGTCCAAGCATCTCATAACCACTATGATCTCAATTATGGCCAATAAAATTGCTATTTACGCGAAAATGCTCTTGAAAATGGACCGTTCAAGTTGTCTGCAAAGCCGGTTTCATCAACTCCAAGCCATAGTCACTCTGCGGCCAGGTTTCAAAACCCGATCACCGCCAAAAAATCGGATTATACAATCTTTATCCAACAAAACATCACAGCCAAGGAAACAACAACAACTAAAACCTCAATCTCGACAAATCCTAAAAACAGGCATCATAAGGGTGCAACTCTCAGCGGGGGAAGTACGGGGTTATAGGCATTCTCCAGAAAGTCGACGACGCCGCTCATCGTCTGCGTCTCGTTGAAGCGGGTGCGTTGCCGGGGAGTGAGCACATTGCTAAACGGAGGTAATTTAGTGCAAAGAAAAAGCCTACTCGAGCATCATCGCCAAATGCTGATGGAAGAGGTGGAAGGTCAGCCCGTGGTCGACCGACAAAGATATCTAAACAGCGAGTTACAATCACGTAAGCAAGCTTACAAATTTCTGCACGCATTCCCAAGTGGTGACCGGTTCACCGGAGAACAGCGTTGGGTTGTTGAGCAGCCCATTTGCCGCCATGATGCCTGGAAATGAGGGGCTTGATTCCGGGAGAACTCTTACCATCACAACGCGTCTCTTCGAGTAACCTGTTCGCTTCTTCAAGGGTTTTCACACCGCCATTCAAGATTATGGGCACATCTACGGCATCTTTGATGACGGCTATCGTTTCATAGTGCGGCGCTTCCATTCGTTCCCAATGATAGCGGGCGTGTGCCTAAAAGTTACTTATACACTTTTATTTAAAATTCTATACTGACGGTCAGGTGGTTAACACCAGCTGCCGCGGCTTTTCGGCATAAATCCACTGTCCGCTCCAGTGGATCCTGTATCCGAATCTTCAGGGATATCTGAAAACGGAAAATTGGACCGAGTACATTTTTAGAAAAATTTTTCGCAGTACAATAGCAAATTCCGAGCTCATTACGAATCCCTTACCGCAAATTTATCGTCGGATATCCGATTCCTAGTTTGCCTGACAATATCGGCTAACAGTTCCGGCTGCGTCAATAGGGAGCTTCCGTAACCTAGATACCACTTCTTAAAACGAAAGCGGCAATAAAAGCACCTCTTGCTCTCACATCACCCTTTGGGCAACCACAATTCAGATCCACGCCGTTGGAATACTTATACACCAGTTCCGTGGCCGCCGCAAATTCCACTGGATCGTTCGACGCAAACTGCACAATCAGTGGATGATCGTCTAAAACCAGAGTACGGTTCGCGCCTGTGTTCCCCGAAAACCTGTGTCCGTCGTAAACTCGCTGTTCCGGGCGACGTCACTTTGCAGAAATTCCTTCGCGTAGATCATCGGCGTGAAGCAGCAGTCGACATTGTAGAGGCGGACTAGCTTCCGGAATACCAGCCTAAACACAAGGAAATTAACCATTTTTGGTTAGAATTACTTGGAATATCGGACCATTGGCGCCGCATAGTATTTGCAATTGCTGAGTGGACGTTCATCCATCCGGGGGCTAAGTGTATGCTAATAAAACTGTAAACCGAGCCAGAAATAATTTGAACACGCTTTTCTGCGGACGTAGCTCTCTGGAGTAACTCTTTGCACTGGCTGTAGAACATTATTTATCCGGGAAGCAGCATTAGAAGGGGCAATAAATCGGGGATGAATGAGATGCATATGGGGGTGCAAGTGTGCAGCAAGACAAAGTCGAAGGAACAACAAGCGGCAATGAAACAAGCAAATTGTTAGTATGATAGATCATGGGGGATGGAAAGTAGAGAAGAAGTTAGAATTTTTGAGATCATTCTTCGAGCACGGGTCGCTTCGTTCGGCCGCGTTTCGCCGGAGAGGCCATGGGTGTCGTGCGGGCAGAGGCGATTGATTGTGCGACGGAAGCAGAACGAATTGATGAGATGTCATCGGGATGTCGTTCCTAAAAAGATTGAAATTTATCGCATCGAAGCGCCATACCTTTAGGCTGTCTTTATATAGCGCTACACTTGACCAAATCGGGCTCTCGGTCGGGATCTTTCCAAGTCCCTGGACGTGCTTCTCAAAGTATCGACGGCTGAAAATAAGATAATCAGTCGTGATTCTTTAGTGTTGCGGGGGATCCGGATCTTGATCCGACAAAATTTCGTTATATCTCCGTGCAAAAACTATTTCTCAAAGAGTTAAATTGCTCAAAAATTGACGCTTGTTCGAAAAAATGAGGCTTTGCGTTTCAATACATTTTCTGCAGTTTTTAGGTTTATTAAAAACGGCAGCAGCATTTTCTTTCCGTATAAAAGCAAGTACAAAAAACCCACATGCAATCCTTGTCCTGGCTCAGCAATTTCGGGGAAAACTCCAGGATGACCTCCAAGAAGCTGACGTTGTTCGGCGACTTGGAGCAGCGTCCGTTGGTGATCTCCAGCGCAAATACGATGCCATCACTTAAATCGGCGTAATTGGGAATTTCTACGATAATACCGATGAATTTTGGCGACTGCCTCTCGATTCTTGAGGTGATCGGTGCCGAACACGGTGGCGAGGCGGCGTGCAAGCTCTCGGACTTGCGAGAAATCCTCGGAGATCGGGTCAATAATTTTCGGGGCATTGCTAATGGTCTAAAAAGAGAGTGTGGTTATAAGTGCCTATCTTACCCGAAGCCGCTCGTAAGCCATTTGGATCGCTTTGCCAACGGCGGTGGCAGTGCTGTGGATGGAGCCGTCACGGCACTTGTAGACGAGCATCTTCATGATGTCTCCAAAATCTTGGTAGTACTAAGAGAGACATATTTTGCCAATTTGTTTGTATACCTTGACATATTGTTCAAAGATTTCGGCCGCCTCGATGATGGGGAGCACGCCGTAGATGATCAACTTGCCATAGTTGGCCAAAAGCCGCCGACGCTTCATCATCAGTTCTAGTTGTTCCTGAAAAAAGCGGGTAAAAATCGACACGAAAGAAAAGGCAGACCAAAAATAATTTAGGCAGAAACAGACCTGCTGTTCGACTTGAGAAGCGGGCGTAGAGAAGACGTTGTCCACCACATAATTCTTGATTCGTCGTAGAAGCTTCTAAACTAGAAGATTTTAAATGCCTCATCTGACAAACCGGATCCATTTTGTACACCAGGGATTTGTACACGTCGCTCCTCTCAATCAAATGGTCGTTGAACAGCAGCAGGGCGTCGGTGATGGCAAGGTAGGTCTAGGGCGAATCAGCGCTTTCAGGATTGCTTACCGTCTCCAGGCCGCTGACGTGTTCCAGCATCACTTGTTCGCAACTTGTGAAGAAGGTGGCCACGCGTCTGCTGAGCTGCTTGATGGCTTCCTAAAATTATTTATTTTCAGAAATGTCGAGCGTTCAAAATGCTGAATTCTCATATAAACGACATTTTGAACACGTTGGAATTTTTGGAACAGTATTCTTCGATTTTCTGGGAGGAGATGTTCATCGGAAGGTTCGATTCTGAATTTTGAAAAACCTAGACATCCTCCTAAACTACAATTATAACATAGGGAGCGCAATTTACCGTTCGGTTCGTCTCCTCATCGCGAATCAAGCGCGAGAGGTCCCAGTTGAGGACGAGGCACATGTACTGCACGCACAACTGCACAACCTCAGACGGCGCCCTGCCCTCTTCCCAGGTGGCTACCTAAAATTAGAGTTGAAGAGATGCGTTGACACGCCAAACCTGAATGCACTTGTCGAAGACGTCCTGCTTGCCGGTGTCAATGTGATTGGCGAAGGCGACGAGCTTCCGGAAAGCACTCTTCAGCGCCGCTTCATCATCGTCGTCCATCACCAAGACAGAACATTAAAGAAAGCTTGATTCTGTCACCTCCTCTTTTTCCAAGCGGTCGACTTGAACCTTCACCTGCAGCAGGATTCCGTGAGTCAACTAAAAGCGATTTTTCAGGATCTTGAGGCTTCGCTACCTTGAGTCGAGGAGTTTCGGTGATTTGGGCCGTGCCGCCGCATGTGCTCAAATGGTTGATCGCTTCGGCAACCTGAAAAGAAAAAATTCATAAAAATTCGGCTATTATACCTGGGTGAGGACCTCGCGATCCGGGTGCTTCTCGACGACGTTCTCGAGCGCCTTCATCAATTCGACAGCATGCTGAATTATCGATTCAAGACTTTAGAAATTAAAAAAACCTGTGTGAGCTGTCCGGCGACGTACATTTCCAGTTGGAAGTATAGTGGCAGCGTGACGAGGTTCCAGACCTTCTCTCGATCGGCAATGTACTAAAAAAAGATGTATAAAATCAACAGGCCAACGCACTCGTTGTATCAAGGGAGCCAGTTGAGGGATGAACACTTCAGAAATCCTCGTCCGTTCCTCGCTGATCAACCTGGCCTCCTTCGGGTTCAACGCGGCGGCTTGTGGACCACGTTTCGCCTAGAAAGATGGAGTGAAGCCGTGAAATATATGCCTACGATGGCCCGGCCGACTGGATGATCCCCGGTGGCGGCCTGCTTGATCGCACAGCACATGATCTCGATGATCTGCGTCTCGTGTTGCGTGGCTTCATCGCTCTTCAGCAGCTCGACCCAGGCGCCCCAATCCTTGATGATCTCGTTGGAGTCGATGAGTGAATCGACGAGGTAGGCGCCGTGCTCGTGACACTGAGAAATATACATAATACCGAAGTAAATTTGAAGCGCTTATCTCACTTTTTTTGACGACTTACGAATGAAACAAAAACAACCCTTAAATCCCATATTGCTAAGCATTTTAAAAACCCCCGGTCATCCAGAACTTTTTTTCGCGACATCAAATATCTACAATTTACCTCTCCCTCGATATAGAAGCGGATGAGGTCGAGCAAGAGATCCTTATTCGGCGAAGTGACCGGGTCCGAGCCAGCCGGCGCAGCGTTCGGGAACACCTTCACGTTGAGGAAGTTGCCGGCGGCGACGGCCAGCGGGCGATGGTTGGTGTAGACGAGCTCGTAGATGGGTACGCAGTCGTCCTTGGTCAGAATATTCGGGAAAGCCCTAAAAGCGGACATATTTCGAAAAGAAACATTAATTTATACCTGTACATGGCGCTCAGCAACTCGCACGCCTTCACCGCAGTCTCCGGGTGTTTATCCATCACCATGCTGGCCAAGCGTAGCTGTAATAGAATTTATTTTCAGCAAAAAATGGTCACCTTGAACTTGTTGGAGAAGAGTTCCAGCTTGCCAACAACGCTTCCGTCATAAAGTGGTAGCAGCGCTTCCAGGCATTTGTGACGAACTTCGGGAACCTGAAAACGTACTAGTTAGCTTGGGTGAATTTCAGCTATAAAAAACAATTTGATATTGCATAAACATTATTTTCGTGTAAGAACCATGACAAAAATACCTTGTCATGCAGACTCCAGCCGATATATTTCAGGTAGCTATCGTCGAGGAAGTGCTCCGGATACACCATCATCCACTTGCCCAACTCGTTGATGCAGATCGACCGAATTTCCGGCAGGCAATCCCTAAAAACCATTTGGAAAGGCCCGGATCAAAAAACCTGTAGCGATGGACGAAGACCGACTTGAAAATGTATTGGATCATGTCGCTAATCTCTTGGGTATGGTCTTTCAACTAAAAAAGGTCATGTTCATCAAAAAATGTAACTTCACCTCTGTTTTCTTGGCGATGAGCACCTCCAATTTCTCGTTGCTGCCGCCCGCTCCAACAGCAGCGAGCTTAGTCTGTTCGGCGTCGATTTGCTTCTGGTTGCGCGTGGTCTGCTCGAACAGTCCCAGGGTGACATCGACCAGGGCGGAAGCAAGGATCATTGCTGTAAAATAAAATCTGAGCCGTTGTGCCAAAACTACCGGCAAAAGTGGCCGTGTGCCTGAAGGCGCGAACTTGACTGTCGGCGAGAGAAGTCAGCATCTGGATCACAAAGTCCATGATGCTATTTTGGAAGATGATGGACGATTTGCAGCGGTCGACCCAAGTCTGAAATCCATAATCACTATTTTGGGATTTTCTGACCATGATCATCTTGGCAAAGCTGCCGCGAAAGCGCTTCCACTGGGCGCCGCTCATGACCATCGGGTAGTCGCTGGAGTCTTCATCGAATTCCTCGGTCATCATGCGCACAATTTCACTAAAAAAACTAAAGCAAAATTTTAGCAACGTCTTACGGGTGGTCGTATTTCTGCAGCATATCTCCGCTCAGCCTCCCGTGACATCCTGAGGCCGAGATGAAAAACTGGAGCAGCTCGGTGCCGGCCTCATCACTGTTCTCGTCGTAGCGATCTATCCAGTCGTCGATGATTTTCTAATGGGAGTTTGTGTAAAAAGCAAGATCGATTATACCTCTAGATTCTTGCCAGTCTTGACGCCGATGAAAAATTGGTTGTCCTCCTCGGCGTGAGCTGTGGTCTTTCTTACAGACGGCGTGCGGTGGCCTCCCCTGCCTGTGCCTAGACTTCCACGAGGACGACCACGTTTTGGCTAAATTTCAAGGTTTATTTATACGGTGTCAAATACCGTTTCCGCCGGTTGACTGCCGAATGACTCGTCGAAAGGCACACGCCTTTTCCTGCCTCGTGCCGGGGTGGTTGGACGACGGAACACGCCATCGTCATTATCGCCACCACTAAATTTTCAGGGCTCAAAAATCATCGGATAAAATTACCTATTTCCTAAACCGCCCAATTCTGCATAATTTTTCACGATGCCTCGCGTGGCCATGCGACTCGATGGAGAGGGCTCCATTCTAGAATTATGGATAAGTTCGAGAGCCGAAGGTCACCCAAGAAATCGAAATTTTGAAAAATAATGATCGGACAAGAGAACTTGTATCTTCTGTCGAATCGGATATTCGACAGAAGGAGGAAGCGAACGGACAGGAAGAAAGAAACGTAAGCTACGAAAAAATAATGTTAGGAAAATGGAATTTATATTTCTTATCGAATAGGGAGTTCGAAAGGTGGAAGGAGGAATGGAAGCCGAACGGAGATCTAGCGAAAAAAAAAACTAGAGAAAAAGACCAACAAAATTGCATAAGTCTTTGAATGAAAACATCATGTAGTTTCTTGCACCCGCTTCCCATTCGGCGTGATTTTAAGTATTTAAAACGTATAGACTCTCATTATATTAAGAAAAAGAATTAAATAATGAAGAAGCCTTCGTCAGATAATGGTTTTTGAAAAGCGGTGAGGCCATCAAATTGACTCGGGCGCGAAGCCAACGGGCGTGATACGGTAGTCCATCCACGTTTCAGGATATCACCTCCTATGCAAATCGCGTTTGTTTTCGAAATTCACGTCAAAATCCACAATTTACAACACTTTCAAATAATTTATTCAAGTGTTTAGGCGACCGGGGCAGCGGACGGCTTGTGCGAGAAATGGGGGCGTCCGGTGAACTTGTGCTGAACAAAAGTATGGTATTTCAATGTGAGGAAAGGCTTACGTGGGCCAGGAAGGGTTTGCCGGTGCCGGCTGGCTTCTTGTGGTTGGGCTAAATATCATTAATACTTTAAATGAATGGGTAGAAACCTGGTGTGGGGCACGGAGGCGGAGCGGGTGGATGACGCGGAAGACCTGAAATGTTTTAGGATGTTTTTAATTCTTATAAAAATGGGGTACTGCGTTCCAAAAAAAGCTTTTATCTACCTGCTCTTGCTGCTCGTGGTTGAGCTTCTTGATGAGGGCGACCTCGTTGTCGTGTGCGGCCTTGGTGGCCTTGGCGGCATCGAGGACGGCCTTCTGCTCGGGGACCAGCTTGGCTTCCTATAAAGCTCATAGCATTCTTGGGGTTTAAAGTAGCTTTTGAAAGTAAAAGACGTATTTTAATGTGGAGAAAACCTTAAAACACCTGGAAAAAACCTGAATATTTAAACTATAACGAGATTCGTGCACCAACCACATCAACGGCAGCCTGGAGGCGCTCCTTGATCGTGTCGGCGACCTTGGAGAGCAGCGCCTAGATAAATCGTAATTATTTATTAAATGAGATTAATAAAACATGGAATTTATAACCTTTTGGTCGTCCTTGGTGGCCAGGGCGGTGATGGCGGCGATGCGCTCATCGACGGTGCCCGCGGCGGCGGCGGCCTGCTCGACCTTGGCACGGCCCACCGACTTGGCGAACTTGAGCAGCTCTGCTTCCTGGAAAGCATTATTAGTATTATTTTGAAGCGATAAATCACACTTTTAAAATTTTAAAACTTTCTAAAAAGGCTATTACGCTCAATATCTTCCCAAAACTGTATTTCTTTATCTAAAAAGCGAGTTAATTTGGGAGTTACGAAATCTCTTTTTAATGCAAACATTTCCGTAGCAAAAGTTAAATAAATTCACTAAAATGAAGCATTTTTCCAGTTTTTGAGCTGTTAAAAGCTTGTTTTTAAAGTTTATAGTTTTTTTACTAGGTTTAGAAACTAACCGCCGCATGGTCGAACGGCTTCTTGGTGGCCGGCTCATCAGCAAAGGCAACGGCGAGGAGGGGGAGGGCCCACAGGAGCATCTTCATCTTTTCAGAAGGTACGTCTTCGAATTGTCCCACCCGCAGCGCCACTTCCCCTTATAACCAGCCCCCCGATTTGCATACGGGCTTCGTGGCAACAAGCTCCCGGTTTCGCATGGCCATAAAAGGTTATGTGTGCGTGGATGTGTGTAGTGCTACTTGTGGGAGTATCTGGAAGACCGGGGACGTCGTAAAGTCGCAATCGTAAATTAAGAATCTCCAATGGTTTTTGTGGAGAAGTGGAGAACTTTGAGATTTCTGGTTTTTAGAGGGGAAGCATTTTAAATGGATGTAAAAGGAATGGCTGTCGATAATTATCATTATAGAAAAAACGCGCGAAAAACTGATGAGAAAGTAGATGTAAAGTCGTGTAATTCACGGCGTTTCGCAAATTTTGCACAATATCTAATCTATGTATCTCACTCTCCCTATCTCTCTCTCTTCTCTCTCTCTCATCTCTCCCCGGACCCGGGACGTCGTAAAGCCGGAATCGTAAATTAAGAATCTCCAGTGGTTTTTGTGGAGAAGTGGAGAACTTTGAGATTTCTGTTTTTTTTTAGAGGGAACTGTTGGTATTTTTCAGGGGAACGTCCAGGGCCAACGTAATTCCTACGCCGCTGACCGCGACGCATACTCAACGCGACTGCGACGCGAAAAACTGATGAGAAAGTCACTTAAAGTTATGCAATTGACGCTGTTTAGCAAATTTTGCAGAATAATTCATCTCTGTATCCCTCACTCTCACTCTCTCACTCCCTCTCTCTTCATCTCTCTCGCTTTCTCTCTCTCCTCACCTGGTGCCAATATCTACGTAAATTAAAAAACAATATAACTCTTCATTTCTCTCCACAATAAATACATACATTTTTCGGGGGTTTCAAACGGGTTTATTTGTGCAAGAAACAACCTTGTTGCGCGGAATGTCAATGTTGATAGTGGATCGGGGGGCGAATCGCAGGCGGGAGGTGAGCAAATTCGAGGATAGAGTATGGGAGGAAATCGAAGGATTTTAGACCTTAAAGAGCCAGAATTTTATCAAAACAACACGCAAAAACAAACAAAAATCACAGCTCAACAGATATATGGGGTGTGTGGTATTCCTGCTCGTTTGCAATCACATGGCCATCGTTTTTGGGGAGGAGGGTTAAAGGGGTGGGCAAGGGATAGGTAGGATTTTGTTGGTGAAGCTTTTTCTTAGGCTTAGAAACAGGTTTAAGCCCAGGTTTAGGGTTATACTAAGTGCGCGAAGCGTCTCGCGGCGCGGAAAATCACAGAAAATCCATAGCCATCTATTACCCAGGATAAAAATTATACCAAAATCTATAAATTTCTTAGAGGTAGAAAGTCGGGGTGTTGGGGCAATAAATAGGGTATATATGTATTTGGTATTTGGTGCATTTTAAAAGATTTCTAGACGTCTTCTAGGCGCTTTCTAGGCGCTTCATCCGAGATCTGTACACGGTCAATGGAAGGGTATAATAGAAACAAAATCGGAATTTAAAAACAAACAGCACGCGGCGCCCAGTTCGTTTCCTAATGACACCACCATCATTCGACGGCGGCCGCCTGGTAGTGGTAGCCGGCGTACTCTTTCGTGTCATTCGACGAGACCTCGTTCACCTGAAAAGCGGCGGTTGGAAACCTTATTTTTTAGTTTTTGCTACTTTTGATTAAATTGCATCAATTTACGAATTAAAAGACGTATCCCACGCGAAAACTCACCCAATTTTCAAGTTAAAAAATCTATTTTAAATTCTATCAAGCTGTAATTTCAGCGGCCAGAAAATGTCTACCTGCGTGCTGTCGTCATTTTTTGAGACCATCTGCTTAATGGATGAGTGAAGCTCGTAGGGCAGCCCGTTCAGGTTGGCAATGTTGAACAGGGCGAGGAATTGGACGTTGTCGTCTTCTTGTTGCGAGAGGTGCTGGAAATGGACGCATTTTTGGGGATGAACACAAGAAAAAGAAAATATTTTGTAAAATCGACAGCTTAATCCTGATTTAATGGAGCTGGGAAGTTAACAATTCTACCTCAATGGCTGGGAGCAGCAACAATAGCCGCGAGATACGCTGGGCGACCTGGATGGCGGAGAAGGAGGGGTGTTCCTGGAAACGACGAGTTGTAGTTAGCAGTTTAAGCGAAGTCTAAGTTGAGCCAAGTCAAGCTTACGCCAACCCAAGCTAAGGAAGCTTAATCGTCTAAGCGTTTGTAGTGCGCATTTTCGTACCTGCTGAATATGGTGATAAAGCGCGTCGGTCAGACGATCCCGGATAACGGCCACCTGCCGCTTCGCGCCCTCGGATAGGCGGCGATCTAAAGTAATTTTTTTAATAAGTACTACAGCTACAAATTTCTCGCTCACGTCTCAAATGACCACTGCTAGCCGGCCCCCGCTTCGATAGCAGTGCTATCCCAGGCCCCCTTTTAACCTCATCCCGCGGAATTGATTTGGGCATCGAATCGAGCGATGGTCAGTGTTTTCCATTGTCTATAGGGGCGCCAGGTACATTTCGCGTGTTCCGGGGTTGACCATTAAAGATTGGGGCGCCGGCGCGTTGATTGGATTGATCGGAATCGACATCGGGGAATTCCCTCGTCGAGATCAAATGTTCAATTGTCGGCGGGTGGGCGATGCACCGGGGCTCGTTTTTTTAGTTGATGGGCGATTTAGGGCAATCGGCACATGCGTTTTTGGATATCGGTAGAGTGGAACGAGACGTGATGCAGACGCTGCGCAATGCAGTTCTTTTATAGCTAGCTACACGCTTCCTTTGCAGTTCAGTTCGACAGTTACAAAAGGCAGATATTTTGAAAGCTGAGGGGAATTGGGAGCTAATTCTTCGGCTCCAGACTCTAATTTTTACTCCTAAAGAGAGAAATTCGAGGTATTACTAAAAACCCTTTTCTTGGTTTTGAGTCCCTTTAGATCAAAAGTTCCGTCCTAAAAGGCACCCTTTTCCCCGGTGTTTGGAAAGTTGTGGAACGTTCTTGCTCCCTCCTCTGCCTTGATAAGATTAAGGGTCAAGGGAATAGTGTTGTTGGGGTGGGTCACGTGGCGTCTCCCCTTGCACCAAGATCGGGGAATCCCCCCAGCTCTGCATCGTCTATTGATAACATCATTTGGGTCAGGTCACGTTTTGGGAGATGTCTAGAATCATGCTAAAATATTGACTCACCGACGCGGAAGAGTATCAGCGCCTTGAGGAGCACGAATTCGCCCTCGTCCATGTTGAGCTCGCGCATCGGAAAAACGAGATCTTGCATCAGGTGCTCGGAGAGGATACCGAAGTAGTGATTGCAGCTGAAATGTAGCGCTTGTTGATTATCATAAGGCAGGGCAGGCTAGCAGAGACTCGTCGGGAAAACTGTAACGCTCTGTGCAAAGCTAGGCAGGCTAGCAGAGATTCTTTATGAGCGGCAAAAAGAGGTACGTTAAGCATTTGCTAATGCTTGCAAGCGAAAATCTGTCCCTGTGAACAAGCAGAGATTTTTTCGGATTTCAACTCACCCAGGCGGTAGCGTCTTTTGCAGCTCCTTGTCCCTCGGGTACCAGCTCCCATTAACGAGCGCCACCCCGTCACAGCCGCTCTGAAAAAAAGTTTTGAGCTAGAGAGAATAAAACGGACCTTGAACGTCTTGTACGTGTGGCACAGCCAGTTGACGGACACGATTCGATGTCGCAGCAGGGTGTACTGGTCCGTTTGAGGGAGTTCCTGAAAAAGGTTCGTAATTAAATGGTATCTAGAAAAGGTTAGTAAGAAAGCTGAAGGTAAGCAACCTTGTACTCCTTGAAGAGATCGGCCCAGTCGACGCAGAGTACGAATGAGCGGCACCAAGCAATGTGGACATCTTCGAGGGTGGTCAGTCGTTCAAGGGCTAGCCAGTTCGGCTAAAAAAAATGGTATTTTTGAGAGGGTAACGAGTGCTAAGGAAAGGGAGAGGGCGAGAGGGGGGGGGAGAGCCATAGATAGAGAGATTGAGAGATCTTTCACACTAAATCCTCACCCTGGTCCTCCTCGCCACCAGCCCCGGGTTCTTGAACGCCATCTCGATGGTGACGTCAACTCGGCACAACCGCTCGAAGTCGTTGGTCACCTCAGACTCGTCAGCCTCTACCATATTGTCGCACCGAGTTTCCTAAGGTAACAAAAATTTATGAAAAAGGTAAATTGGCTTACCAGATCCATCAAATACTCGACGAGCGGGACGCGCTCGCGGTAGAAATGATTTTGGGGTGGTTGCATTTGGCGAGCATTCGTAGTTGGCATCTAAAAAAGGAGATTGGAAGGTTCCACGATTCCTGGAAAACAAGACGTTGACAGCGTTGCGGTCGCATCACGTCTAAGTTTTGATGCTGGGCGGTACCCAACGCGACCGGTACTCTCTACAAACACTTACTCGATTATAAACCGACACGCTTCGTGGCGGGGCCAATTGAGAACCAGGTGGGTAGAGGTAGGGCGATGGCGGTGGGTACCCATTGGTCCCGTCAATCGTCGATGGTGGTGACCCGTCGTCCTCCTTGATGCGCTTCATCGGCGGCGGGCCGGACAGCGTCTCGGCGAATGCCCGGTTCACGACACCTAAATCTGGGGCCAGGTTAATGGATCTTCAAAATAAAAAAAAGGCGGTTGGGACGATAAAGCGTAGGCATGCCCGTTGGAAAGTTAAATGTTGCGCTAACTACTCTTAATGCAGCCATGCCCGGCAAGTTTGAGAGAGAGAGAGAGAGAGAGAGAGAGAGAGGGAGAGCGAGCAAGAGCTAACCAAAAAACGGGTGCCCAACAAGGTACAACAAAAAAAAACGCAGAGGGAGCCACGAAAAACACAACGTGAGGGGCGCAACAACACCACCGTACCGTGGGCCGGATGCGCGTCCGGGTCGGGCTTCATATTGTAGAGAATGTCTGGAAATCCCCGGGGTACAAAGGCCGGTTTTTTACAGAAAATTTCACAAGGCAAGTTTAGAAAAGTGCTGGGACCAATTTTCTGCGTAATCGGTTCGAATTATCTCCGATATTTGCATTTAAACTCCATTAAAGATAAAAATATTCACCCGCAAGACTGCTGGTGTAGGGCGCTTGTTGGGCGGGCGGGTAGTGATTTGACGGAAGTGGTACGCAAGATGTTGTAGTCGGTATCGGCGACATCATATGAATGGGGGCGGATTGAGGCATCGTGTGTGGCACCTAAAATGCGAAGGGTACCATAAATTATTTAACATGACTTTTAATATCCAACGTCTATTTGGCAAAATCAGCACATTTCCTAGCATAAACATCAAGAAAATACAATTTTTATTTACCTGTACTCGCAACGGTACCGAGGCGGTGGAAGTGCTGGGGCCGGGCACGTCTTTGGTATCTAGAAATTAACAATAATTTAAAAAAATCAGAAAAGTTTAACAAACCATCGTCGCTGATTGAATTCTCTCTGGCCGGCGGCTTCTTCTTGTGCTTGTCGCGCTCGGATTGTACGGCTAAAAGATTGAATAAAGTTGCCCAAAGAAGAATTCTGTAAAAAATAACCTAAAAACTATGAAAACCGCTTCTTTTTTTCTGGATTAAAAAGTATAGATTTTTTCTTGATATTTTTCTCGTAAAGCAAACAAATTCAAAATTTATTTCGAACTGGGGTTAGAGAAAACGGTAAAAATTTCAACGAACCTCTCGCATCCATGCCGACCTCGAAACATTTCATCAACCGGCAGGCGCGACATCGATTTCGGTATTCTAAAAAAAAGAAATTTATAGGCTACCTTAAAAGGTATATACCTTGAACCACTTGGCATTTGCCGCCGAAACGGCACGTGTAGTCGCGCTGCTCCCAGATTCTGCAAGAAATAATTATTTTCAAATTTGGATATACTTAATCTGTCCATCATTTTTTTTTCTCTGGTCTCTCCAGATTTTCCTACATAGCCAAGACGAAAAGAACATAGAAAAATGGTAAAAACTCACGATCTACGGAAAAATCCCTTGCAGCCGTTGCAGGCGATCGTGCCGTAGTGCCGGCCGGCGCGCGAATCACCGCAGACACGGCATTTTAGGCCTGAAGAAAGGAACTACGGTAAAAAGCTATTGTAAGTACGGCTAAGGCCAAAAAACATAAAGTCGCACATACCTGCAGTGGGGGTGAGTGATGGGCATGGGGCCGTCTGTGTGGTCATGCCTGAAAAATCGTCTTATCTGGGAAAATATTCGTATTAAACGCAAATCAGCACAAAATTTTCTGCGCTGATCTTTAGAAAAACGTCATATTTTCGGCAATCGATAAAACTAGTTGTTGCGGTTTCGAGGGGCCAACGCGGAGAACCTGGCCGAAAAAATGGAGGGAGAATTTTGATCAGGCCGCATGAGGGGAACGGTTTTTGTCGAATTTTCACCAAAGCAAGTATGTTTATTTAGTGCTTTTTAAGCACTAGAAATTCCAATTCCAACTTTAAGGGGAAATCCCAAAAAAACATGAAGCAATCGTGGAAAGCACCACTAGCGCAAAGCATAAAATTGGCGAAAGTAACCTCCTGTAATCGGGGAGGTTGTAAGCTTGCCTAGCTCCTTTAAAGGTATATTCACGTGGATTTAGAACGGCAAAAAGTGTGAATGTAATGAGCGCAAAGGGTAGAAGTGTACTGAGTAGCGTGCGGTACTCAAGCACCAGAACGGCCCTTTAGGCCTAACGTAAGCAAAGTTGATTTTCTCGTTATTTTGGCAAATTGCCAGTCCTCTAAAACATGTGATCATCCCGTGCCGGTCGAAAGTGCTGCCAACGTACACGAATGTTAATTATTTCCGCGAAAATCCGGGGCGGTGGGCCAGTTTCGGGCCACAATCCGATCGGAAAGCACTTGGGCAGGGCAGTGTATTCTTTGCCCTTTCTTTGTTCTTTGCAGGTATTGTGGATGGGCAGTGATTGGAGTTTGTTTTGATGGTGCCAACGAAAGTTAGGTATTGAGCAGGGAAGCGCTCATTTTTGGTTACCGTCATCTCAAAAAAAATTAAACTACGCAAAACTAAAACTAAAACCCTCACAAAATCGTAAAATGGCCTTGATGGTTCCTAGGTAATTTTAAAGGTATTCGGAAGGGAAAGGGCAAATTTGTCGGTCACCGTACCACAAAAAAACTATAGGAACCTTAAAAAAAAGTCCGGAAAAAATTCTCGATGATGTCTATGTACAGGGACGTAGCGTAAGGTGCCCCCCGAAATCGGCCGGGGCCCGAAAATTTCATAAGGGGGGACCCTTATGATTTTTATTTTCTCAAAAATTTTGCGGCTTGCGGCGCTATTGCTTCACGTTTTTACTGCTATTTGTAGAGCTATATAGCCTTTTTTCCAAAATTTTTTCTTTTTTCCTTTTTACTGCGGCGCTGTTTTCTCGTTAATTTTTTGAGTTTTTCAGAAAAAATTTTTCAGCCCCCCGAAATTTTTTTCTGGCTACGCCCCTGTCTATGTAATTTAAAGATAAGGCTGATTTCGAAGCGACCGGCTACCGTAGACAAAAGTGGCAAAAAGCGTCAAGTCCATAATTTGAAATGATAAAACCACGTCGAAACAAGTGACAACTATTGACAAAAACATTTCAAAAGGCTACTATTTACCTGTGGGGTCACGGGGCTCACTAAAACAGGGAGGAGAAAATCAGCAATGTACTAACGTTCTTGATGATACCTTAAAGGGTTGCCGACGGCATGTGTCGATCCCCCCCCATCAACAAATTGGCAAGTAGCCAACAGGGGAGAGAGCGCGCCCAGGGGAGAGGCGCAGAGACATTTTCTTTCCAGCGCGTAACCGATTGACTTTACCGATCCCTTTAAAAATCCATAAAAACCTTACCGTTTTCGGACTTTGGGTGCAAAAATTCCAGCGGCTGCGGCACGTTGTGTAGATGCGGGGGCAAATGGTGATGGTGAGGCGCTTGGATGTGCCCTAAAAAAAGAGTTTCATGTATTTATAACGTAAGGCGACGTAATGTACTTGATTTTACACCCGTTTAATGCTATTGATCTACGTAACGTAACGGTCCGTAAAGCAGCATAGCTACGTAATTTGTAGCGCAACGTCACGTATCCAGGTACTGCATATAGCAACGTAACGTAACTAGGTAATTACCGTAACGTTAACTAAACCCGAGTGCTCACCAAAAGAATCAAAAGCATAATCCTCAACTATGAGAGCACCGAAACTTGGAAGTATCAATTTTCCGCCGTGATACTATCAACACCCGCCATGTGGACCGGTCAAAAAGTGATCTGACTATGAGGGAAAAGGGAAGCCGCTTGGCTGGCTGATAAGCGGGTATAGTTTCCGATTTGTTGGCTGATCTTTAAAAGGTGATTATTTTTGGGGCCAAAAAAATTCTTGAAAATCATGAAGAAATTTTTTTGTTAAGGGTGAAAACCGCCAAAACATGTATCCGCACCTAAATACCGAGAAACTGAACTAGTTTCTTAGCAAAACCTGAAAATCCACTTTAAGGGGCCCGGGAAGGACCGTCCTACCGGAATTCAGCGAAAAACCCGCAGATTTCCAAAGCCCACCCCGGAATTCGGTATTTTCTACGGCTTCTAAAACTTAAAAATCAATCACAGACTTCCCAGTCCCTTTAAAATCTAAATTTTAAGCGACAGCCCCAATTTCAATGCAAATTCCCAAATTTCCACCACGGGGACGCACCGTGTTTGCCCAGACGCGTGAAGGGGGCGCGCAGCGGCGTCGTGTGTACGGTATTGTAGCGGAATTGTATGCAAACACGTGTTGATAGAGGGGGGAATCTGAGTGAGAGGGGGGGGGGATAGGGGGTGGGTGACCAGGTACGAAAGCAGTGCCCCTTTTCGCAGCTGTGTGTGGTGTCCTTCCGTCTGTTTGTCTGCTTCTCACGTGCTCTCTCGCCCGCTCCCCTCAATCAGTCTCCTCTAGTTTGTGCGGTCTGTGCCCAGCTGGTGTATCTCGAGACAACTTTTCGGTCTCGGGTAGGGCGCGGTCCAAACTGTTATCAGAAAAAAAATTCTGGGGGCAATAAGGGAGCAAAAATATATATGGGCTAAGAATTTCTAGAAGAAGTCACGTATCAGATCACCCGCTATCTCTCTCTCGCTCGCGCTCTCTCTGTCTTTCTCTCTCTCGCATTAACCCACCCACATCCCAGCAATAAATCCAGGGGGGCTTCCCCTCTCTAAAACATGACCTTGTGCGAGATCTAGTCCCTGTATTCGCACGACAACTTTTCGGACCGCCCAGCCGCATTTTGATCGCCCCACGTAAAGGGAGAGACACTAGCCACCACTCGCCATTGATTCCCGGGGGGGGATCACGAGACGAAACGAGACTTTAAAGGGATTGGCAAGGCATGGTTATGGATTTTCTCCTTTCGACAGCGCCTAGCTTTCGCATTACATAGCACATTAACCAATAGAAAGATGAAGCGGGTTGCTTGCTAGTGAGCTCGCGAAAATCCGTAGCCATACCTTGCCGGCCCCTTAAAGCGATTGAATAGCAAGGGTCACTGTCTAGGTCGACGACTACGCACCGCTCCGAATCCCGGATTCACAGTCAGCCAGACCGCTTCCTAATACCTTTAAAGGGCCGGGCAAGGCCTGGTTATGGAGTTCTGATCGTGGATTCCCACGGATTTCCTGCCTTACGCAACCCTACGCGTCACTTGGACGTCGTCTGCGCGGTGTGAATCCATTACGTAGTGGAAATCCGGGGGGGAGGGGCGAAACTCAAGCCATGTAGAGCCAAAAAAATCCCTAGTCCCGTCTTGCGCGTCCCTTTAATATTACCAACAGACCACGAAACTACAAGCATTTCCCGATTTTTGATTTTTCTCCGCAAGTTTTAATAGGAAGGAAAATTACCCCATTTTTTTTAAATTTTCAGTCTCAAAACCGGCCGCGTCAGCCGTTTCCCGCTAGGGTCCAATTTGTCCCCCGACGCGGGCCGGTAATTCCAGCGATAATTGCGCGCCTCTGGGAAAGTGGGAAATTTTGCCCCCGGATCACCATAGAAATTGGCACCCCGCGGAATTGGCCGGCAAAAATGGGGCGCCCCCATTCCGGGAGTGGAATTAAAAACGGGGTTCAACAAATGCGGAAATAGGCGCGTGTGTTGGTTTTTTTGGCGAGCGGGAGCTGTGAATAATTTTGGGGCGACTGGGCGATGTGCGGGGGAATGGCAATTAGCTGGGTGGCCGGGAATAATTGATGCTTTTTATGGGAGGAGGAGGGAAAGGGGGTGCAGGGAGTATGGGTCCAAAAAGAAGCTGCAAGTAAGTGGCTAGGGGCAGCTGGAGAGTAGACTACAAGTTTGCAAATGACATGTAGCTTTTTATAGCGCTGAAGACTTTGCCTCAATTTTCATAGAATTAAAGTTTAGGTGATGAAAGATCATAAATTCCTCGAATTGCCGAGCCTACAATTCACAAGTAAGAAACTATAAAAAAAAAGAAAAATGCATTAGTCCGAACGAATCGTATACGCCCAAAAATACCAAATTTTTGCGACTCTGGCAAGACGTCTAGTGTCGCGTTAAAACAACCCAAATGTCATATAATCTTCAAAATAATTTCAATTCTATGAAAACAATTGAAAAGCACTTACCAATTTGGTGCGGGTGCATTGAATGGCGCGCCGTGGCGTCCGGAAAGCTGTGGAAGATGAATTGAGACGCAATCTGAAAGGTAACGAATTTACTTCGTGTTTTTCTAAAAAAAATGCTTTCGAAAACGGAGAAATCGATTTGCAATAAAACACGCAGATATCAGATCGCAATCTCGGAAATGAACCCTATCGAAAAAGCTTCGATAGGCTACCGATTTCAAGTGGAAAATCTTAAAATTACAGAGAGAAAACGGCACAATTCAACAGAAAAAGCTCTACCGTAGCCAAAACCTTAGAAATATAATCTACCAAAAATGGAGCGGTTCCAGGATCCTAACTAGTCCCATGGCAATCAGAACCCGTCAGGGACGCAACAGTATCTTTAAATATTCCATAATAGACTGAGGACACCCTTAAAACTAGGGCAAGTATGATCTGCCCGCACACAGGTCAAATCACAAAGATCAAAAGATCAACTTGTTCGAAAAGGGAGGCGGGGCCTGGAAGGGGGGATTCCCCGGGTCTCACGCGTCGGGGCAACCCCCCTATGCATTCCGCCCACCCGGCCCCTACAGACGCGCGCGTCAAAATCCCATGCCAAAAAGGGCACCTCCCGCGATTAGGGCTTCGCCGAAAGGCAATCCCGACAATAATGACAATTCCTGGAATCCTATATAGCCCCCGCCGGTCGTCCCGCACTAATGACTAGGGATAGGAACCCCCGAAATCGGCTCTAGTTGATGTAGTCTGGAAGTTGGTGGAAATTGTAGGTTTTGGACAAAACACGCTGTGCGGCAGTGCAACGGGTTGGCAGCGAACAACAATTCGCGCGAGGAGGAGCCGAAAATAGAGTACATCATGTCAAAATAGTTATTAGGGAGGAGAACTTTCGGAGCTATTGATGTTTGGGGGGGGGGGGGCATCTTTTTTTAGGGGCTTTTTCCGGCCTAAGCTTGTCTCAAAGCCTAAGCTAACCAAGCCAAGCCCAGCCTAAGCCAAGCCTAAGCCGAGACCAGGCTTAAGCCCAAGTCTAACTGTAACCGTTTTTTGTTGACCGTGGGATTTCGATACATGAGATAGCACATTTTGTGCAGAATTTTTCGCTGATTCCGAATCCGTTTTCAAAAGTTGCGGAACCCCTCAAGATAAAAAGTTACAGCCGGTTTTCTACCCCAAACGACCGAAAATTACAAACTTTAAATCCTTATAAAAAACTCGTGGAACATTTTGTGGGATAAAATACACCACTCCTAGGGGTAAAAAAACGTGCTCTTTCGAATGGGCAACCTCACAAACCCGTAGCTCAAAATTCACAAAATTTCAAAAATTGGCCATCCAGGGCATTGGTCCACCGAAAAACTTTTTTTCATGAATTTTGAGCTACGGGTTTGTGAGGTAGCCCATTCGAAAGAGCACGTTTTTTTACCCCTAGGAATGCTGTATTTTATCCTACAAAATGTTCCACGAGTTTTTTATAAGGATTTAAAGTTTGTAATTTTCGGTGATTTGGGGTAGAAAACCGGCTGTAACTTTTTATCTAGAGGGGTTCCGCAACTTTTGAAAACGGATTCGGAATCAGCGAAAAATTCTGCACAAAATGTGCTATCTCATGTATCGAAATCCCACGGTCAACAAAAAACGGTTACAGTAAGCTAATCCTAAGCTAGCTCTAGGCTAAGTCTAAGCTAAGGCTAGGCGAAGCCTAATGTAAGCCTACAGTAAGCCTAAGCTAAGCCGAAACCAAGCCTAGGCCTAAGCTAAGCCTAAGCCTAAGCCAAGCCTAGGCATAAGCTAAGTCTCAGCCAAGCGTACGCAAAGTTAAAGCTAAGCCTAAGCCTAGACCTAGGCCGCCAAAAAAAAAATGCCCCCCCAAACATCAATAGCTCCGAACTTTCTGTGTGGGAGGTAGGAAAGGCGTCTTTTTAGTGCGGGATCGTAAAAATACACTATCACACGGAAGTGATTTTAAGGGTAACATCTGCCTAGAGGACAACCTGAAGATAAGCCGTAACAAGCACTAATAAGTTATAATTTCAGCGAATTACGTTTTTTTGAGCGATAAAATTAATAAGAAGCACCCAAATTCACGATTAACAACATAAAAACCTAAATTTCTAGATTTTCTCATAGTTTAAGTAATATCCGGGAATCAATTCCCATCGCAAAAATCGTGCAACGAGTCACAAACCCCTTAGACAACCAACGCCACGTGAAAAAAACATCATGACACACCCGGGACGATCAATCAACTGTATACCATTCCAGAAACGTCGCACACACATCTGATAACGCCCTTGGCGGGTCATTTCGAGGAGTGCCGCCCGTTATCTTGGCGGCGCGACGTTGAGCCCCCGATGGCAGCCCCAAATTTTCGACCCGATCATCGGATTTTGGGGTCCAAAAAATGGCCCAAGTTGGGCAGGGGCTTTTGAGGTTTAAGCGGGACTGTTGAAAGGGAAACTTCCGCCGCTAAAGCTTTAAAAAGTTTTGAGAAGAAAGTATGGTTCCTTAGCCCGATGGCGATATATCGAGAAAGAGCTACGGGTTGCCGTTTCATTACCAAGAAAAACGAAGAGTTGCCGGAAAGAGTACGAAAAAGAAGAGAAAGGGATGGATAGAGATGGGTAATTTATGGACTGAAAGAGTTGCCGAACGGCTCCAAAATCCTTGTAAAAACTAGCGTTACAGCGCTACCCATTTCTAAGATTGATACTGGGCAACTCGCAACAGCTGACAACATAACAATTGGGTCCGAGGGGTAAAGTTGAACCCATGGGCGAGTGGACCAAAGGTCAGCGGGGGCAAAAAGTTGGCTCGGAAAGTGGAGAACCCAAGGTAAAGCTTTCAAACGCAAAAATCTGGAAAAAGTATTCAAAAGTTCAAAAGTATTGAGACCATATGAAGTAAAGCTAGCCATTTCAAATAGTAAACTGGACGGAATATACAGAATATCTGCCGGAAGCGTATTAGAAACGCCAGCGACAAAACCATCGCCCCAAAAACTCGTAACTATCATGTGACCACAACAATTAGCCCAAATCACTATCAGCGGGCGTCGATGTGTGGCGGCAGGAGGGGCACAAAGTGATCCCGGCACCAATCGATCGACTCGCCACGAGTTAACCAGGCTCGTGGGGGTCGGCCGTCAGCGAGCGCCCGAAAATTGGGCCGGAAAAACGGAAAATACACACAGACTCCCCGATTGACACACACCGGGAGGGGAGGGGAAGACCCGAACCGCGTGCGTTTCCCCCTCCACCCTCCATCCCGTCGGTCTCTAGCCTTTGAAGGTCAACTTTGAGAGCTGGGTGGCCAAGAGCCACGTGTCAAAATAGTTCTTAACGTTTTTATTCTTCACCAGGGTTGAAAAGCCGCTTCGCGCCTTTTCAACCCTGGCCCTGTCTTACTCCCCATACTCTTCACATTGCATAAACACCTGAATTCCTGTGCAGAAAAATGAAAAGCGCGTCCTCTCCGCCCTGATATAGGCTTCCCCCACGTCCGGTTCATGCTAATTGATTCCTAACAAAGAGGCCGAGCGAGATTTTCACAAAAACCTAATTTTAATATCGAAAACAGCTGATTTTTTAAAATCTCACAGGCGTGCAGTCGTGTCATGACCATTACGCATCTCATGACGTATCATACGTACCCTTAACTTCCTCCCCTATTGAGATACGACTGGAACATACGGACGGAAGTTGCATGCAAATGCACACACACACACACACACAGACACTATTTTTTTATATATATTATTCTTCATAAGATTAAATTTAAGATAGTTTTCTAGATCTAGTTTGTCGAACCGCCATTTTGAAATTCTGCTACAAAACGTTCGATTTTCGATTTAAAATTTCTAGAAACTAGGATCGACCCAGAATACAGTACATGCGTCCTAAAGACGAAAATCGTCGCTTGGAGTGGAGCGGCCTATTCTCGGGGTGTAATTTGGAAAGTAACGTAGCGCGTTTGGAAAAGAGTTTAGAAAAGTGTAAATGATGAAACAAGTATAAGATAAGTACGATATCTTTCTTACTGCGAAATCTAGCAGATGATAAGTAATTCCAAGAAGTGTTCTTGACTTTCCACCCTCAAAGGCCCTCCCTCCAACAGACAAAACACGGATTAGCCGGCGAGTTCAGCGCGTTCAGAAAGTGTGGTGTTATGGATAGTTTGTGAAGGCGCGGTGTTTGGTGGGCGTAACACGAGACTGTACTTTGTGTCAAAATGGATGTCGGAGAAGTGGGAAGAGATCATTGTAGTCTGTACCCATTGGACCCGCCCCCTTTCCGGAATTCCCCGCATTTTCGAATGTTTTTTTTCCTAAGAAAAGGTGATTTGCTTTCAAAAGAAACGTTATATTTCAAAAAAAGAATAGATTTTTTAGGCAATGGCCTCAACGTCATACGATTGGACCGAGTTCGTGCTGGCCGATATCCAGCCTTCAAAAGCCGTCCTGACGAAACAAGCAATTTACAATTTGGAAGTCACTTTCAAGGTTCGTTTTTGCTTTGATAATATCGATATATCTTTTTAGGTCAAATCAGCAGAGGATTTTCAAGAGATATATATCGGATTTGACGCATTAAGCGAGGGCTACGCGGCGCTAGTGAATTTTTCTATATACTGCAATGATAAGCTGGTTTTCGAGGTTTGTACTTTCACTAAACGTTGATCAAAGTGAGTTTAGAAAGAGCGCGCGTTATGGTGCCCTGAAACCACGTCAAAGGTAAGGTATAATATTCTTATTAAACTTTTTTAGGAACCCAGAGAAGGGCTGAAAACGAAGTATTGCGTTTTCTACGGGAAATCGGCATATAAGGAGGGGAATTCGATGAAGTTAAAGGTAAAATTGTTATACAAAAGGCCAGAAAATTGCTTTAGGTTCGCGCCTTGGAGATGTTGCCCATAGTGGACACGGCGGTCAAGAATGGATTCCGGAATTTTTTGGTGAAATGCGGCACGCATAAATTCTACGTGAACGTGGCGCTGCTTATGGATTATGAGGGCATCGTATTTGAGAGCTGGAAGAAGAATCAGGACGAGGGATTGGAAGAAGCGGGTGAGAGGAGTGCTTTCTTGAAATTTTGATGCAAACGTTTTAGTGATCCCCGATGACCCGTCCGTCAGGAATTTTCTAAATTCATTTCTGCGCTATGACAAGCTGTTGATACACAGGTCGGTGAGGCCCTTGAAGGTGTTACTACTGGTTTTTAGTGGAAATTGGCTGGATGTTTGCCAGCACGCTTCATTCGTCAAGTCGACCAAGATTTTGCGAGCGGTAGTTTTTCGGTTCTGGTTCGTTAGCGGAGGGAGAGGGACTAATTCTTCCCTATGTTCTTGAGGACGTAGCCCAATGAAATGGAAACTATTTTAATAGTATTTAACACTTTTTTTACAACAAGTAAGTTCATGAAAATTATTGTTTTTGAAAATGTTTACTTTTGGCCTGTCAAGTTCTTGGTAAACTAATAAAAATGTTAGCACATTATGAAATAACCGGTTTTTTTTCTCTACGATAGAGGCTAGGCTTAACAAATGAAGCCCCCCCCCCGGTAACGCACCAGTACCAGCTTTTCTCTGAATACTAGAATGCCACTTTTTTGAGGTCGAGCAGTTCCTGATCGACCTCAAAACGATGCACCCGATGAAAAAGCTGGAAATTGCGGCCGACCTGAAGTTCAGCCGACTTTTCATGCAAGCGCGGACAGAGTTGGGGCGCCCACCAGTGGCCAATAGAACGTTAGTTTTAAAATCTATTAAATCTTTTGAAGGAAGGTCAAGAGCGCGCAGCAAAAATTCCATTCTATTTTCGACTGATATCAGCGCAACAGCCAATCACCCCCGTTCATCCCATCCCCAGTTTTTTTAGGATGATGGATTACGCGCACGAGACGGGCTTCTCGCTCGACCACATCCACCCAACCGTCCAAAAGCTGCGCATCGTCACGCCCGACTATTTGGTGTATTTGTGATTGATCGTTTTTGGGGGTTTTGCATGTTCTACGGGTTTTTGCTTTTTGTCAATTTTGTAATAAAGCCGATGCTTTAAGGTGGACAATAGAGAAATATTCGAGCCAAGAAGAATGAAGGCTACAAAATTAAAACGTGGCCTGTTGCTACTGGGGAAGTTCTAGGTGTATTTTTTGGCTGGCTATAAATTTCGAACAATCGGTTCTTTCGCATTATCGGGGGGGGGGGGGGCGGCGGTTTTCCTAACAGTAAAAAAATATGCCAAATAACGTAACAGTGAGTTTTTAAAATAGTATCTTTAACAAAATTCAACTGTATTTCAAGTAAAAAACAAATCGAAAATCTTCGCAAAATCAAAAATCTGGAATTTCATCGAAAAATCGATATTTTTTCTACCTTTTTTTAGCTTGTAACTGACGTTTCTACCTTTAGGAATAGTATAAATCGTTTAGAAAAGTTTGCCCAATTTATAACAGAAAATCGGCTAAACAGTCCTCCCCCCTCGCCCCTCCCCCCCTCCCCGAAAATGCGAAAGCTGCGAACAAGAATTTTAAGCTTTGTCTCTCGAAAAAGACTAGATTTATACCTAAAGGACTTCGAAAAAAGACAAAACGTACAATCCAATTAGACGTCTTTTTAACCACCAAATCTTTTTGATTCGGGCGGACCGAAATCTTGGGACAACAAGATTAGTATGTGTGTGCGGGACCACTTCGCACGCCCCGCCCTTTTTAGGTATTTCTGCAAGCGTGTCCAAAACACACGTACCAAAAAGAGCACGAGGAGAATGCGGGCTTTTCTAGGAATACGCCCCGGGGCCCCGATGAGCCATACTTGTTCTACTCTCCGGCCTCGCGGAGAGAAAAAAGATCTCCGAGCAGCCGCGACACAAACTTGACCGCCCGATTCAGCATCTGATTGCCACCGGATTACTAATAAGACGGGGGGAACAAGTCGGCCCGGGAATAAAGAGTTGTTTGAGAGAGAAATAATCAGTTTCTGGTTCACTAGCAGGGAAGGCGGGCGAACTCTTTCAAGGTTTCCAGAGGATCCTGAATGAAGATTAAAGTCTTTACTAGGCATTTACACTGAGCAGCGTGCATGAAATTTGGCAATTTCGTAATAAAATTATGAAAATTGTTGAAAAATCAAGAGTTTCATCTAGGATTTATAGCTGCAAAAGTTTTCCAGGGCCTACCACTGCAAATAGATGCATCTACAAGTACGGGAAGTACCCCGCAAGCTACGGTACGATGTCTGTGTTTTAATAATCCGGTCCTGCATCGAAAAATTTCGAAACATCGAAACCGACGCTTAATTAATAAAAATAAAAAGAAAACAAAAGTACATGCAGAAATTAATAATTTTTTGATGATCCAAAGCGCTAAATGAAATCCGAAAACCAGGAAGATTACTCTAATTTTTTAGAAGTTAAAATACTCAATAGAAGTTGATATCAAAGGCTAAACCAAGGTAAATCCTAATCCGGAAACCGGAAGCGGGAGCCGGCAATATCGCGGGGACCCAATTTTGCCTAGGCCATAATCGAAAAGGTGAAGACGGGCCGGGGCCCCTCTTGATGCTGCTGTCTTGGCCACCTGCGCGGGAGACATCGACACTCCAAAAAAAGAAGAAGCGGAAGAAGGAGAGGAACATATTGATCCCGAATACCCAATGGTCGCCACATCATTACCGAGTCACACAGGTGCACTCGACGAAGACGCCGCCGCCGGAAACCATGGGGATCCCGTCGTTCGTGTGAATTTTTGAGGGTAATTAGATAGGTTGGGGAGAGTTCGGTGCTTTTGCATTATCGGGGGGGGGAGGGCTAATGTTTTGTATAAGCCCAGACATTATTTAGCTATACTTCCAGTGGAAAGCTATTTAAAAACGAAAAAATTGAACAAAATGCGGAATTCTTGGTCGAGATTGCGGTATTTTTTGTATTTTTGACGAGGCCAAAAAATTAGTCACACAAACGCATGATGTCAACGTCCCAGTGGAGTGTGCCGTAGCGTCATTTTTAGCCCGCCGATCAAAAAGGGAAATTCCGCAGATTTACACCAAATTCCGGTTCCTCCGCCCTCCAGCGGGGGTTGCCCCGTCACGTGGCGCCCAATTTTCGGAGGGTAAATTTACGCGGAAATTGATATGCTGAGTGGGCGCTGACAATCAATTTGGGGTTGGTGATAAGCCAGAGGGTTGAGGTGGGGAGGGGGGGGGGGAAGTGGATCAGCCAGTTTTCGTCACTTCATGAGAGGGGGGCGGTGGGCAATCGACCGTCTAGGGAGCTGATTGTCAACCATTTTTCAAAGATTTGGTAGCGTTGCTGAGGGCATGGGAATTTTTTGGACCTTTTTGGTGTAATATGGAGTAGTCGGGTACTCTTTAAAGGTAGCGGCAAGGCAGGGCTATGATTTTTGTTGGGTAGGCATTTCGTGTGGATTTCCCGAGACCGCGACGCGCCAGAGTAATGTTTCTCCAAAATTCCTTTGCGTAATGGAAGACTATACCTTTATAACGACCAACGGTGCGCGTCGCGTCTCGCGGTTTTAGGAAAATCCATAGACAGCCAAATCTAATCCTTGCGCGCCCCTTTAAAGGTCTCGGCAAGGCTCAGCCATGATTTTTTTCTGGAGTTGGACCGCAAATATGTTGTCTCGCGCCCGCAATACGCAACGCGCACGCCCGTCGTCCGATTGCGTAATGAATTACGGACTCCCAAACGACGTCCAGGCGTCCGCGTCAGCGTCGGCGTTGTGTATCGGGAGCGCGGCAAAATCCAAAGAGAATCCATAGCCTTAATCCGCTACATTCAAGAATCGGGTTATCGGAATGGCGCTAGAAACAAAGCACACGGAAATACGTGGCGTTCGCGTCGGCTGCTCGGGTGGAACCGTGACGCGACTATTACGCGCGCTCATCGGGCATTTCCGCTAATTCTTAGCATAAATTCCCGTAAATTAGGATTGGAGCGTAGCATTCGGGTGAACAAGGAGGCGAATCCGGGGGGGGCGGAAAACCTTAAAAATATTCAAGAAAATGACTAAAAAGGAGAGTCGACTGTATCCTCAGGAAGTAGGGTTTTTGAAAGCTGGCTAGCACGATCCCTTTAAGAAATTTGTAGCCAAAGAACCGATAACAGTTTTCCAGCGTACTTTAGAGAAAAACCAAAAACGGGCCCGGAAAACAGTTGCGAGCCCCCAGCGAGACAAATATGGGTGTTTCGGAAAAGTGTGGGGAGAAAATGATTCGTCTGCCCTCTACCAATCACTCTCCGTGAACCCCGACGTCGCGTCGAGAATATCTTCCACGTGAGGCTGCTGCCGGGAAAAACGACTGCCGCCCCCATTTTTGGTGGTTTGAACTCTGATTTTTGGGGACTCTCTCCTTTACCGTCGACTCCGCCCCCTTGGAGGCGTCGCGGCCCGGAATGCCGCGTAGCCGCTGCAGCGACGTCGGGGAAAAGTGAGTAGAGTTTTGACATGGGGGAGGAGGAGTGGGAGATTGATCTACTCTTGCTGATCGTCGCCCTCGAAGCGTCAGGATTACCGCCCGCTGACCCCTCGGTCGGATTGGGAAAAAAAAACGGGGGAGCGAGACCTCGTGATTGACCCAAACTATGGAACGGGGGACAACACCTCTTTTTGGAATGTTGCAAACAGTACCAAAAATTTCATGAAAAGGAAAGACTGGCAGAGATTCTTTGAGGAATTGGGAGAGGGCAGGCTAGCAGAGATTCTTTGAGGAATTGGGAGAGGGCAGGCTAGCAGAGATTCTTTGAGGAATTGGGAGAGGAAAGGCTAGCAGAGATTCTTTGAGGAATTGGGAGAGGGCAGGCTAGCAGAGATTCTTTGAGGAATTGGGAGAGGAAAGGCTAGCAGAGATTCTTTGAGGAATTGGGAGAGGAAAGGCTAGCAGAGATTCTTTGAGGAATTGGGAGAGGGCAGGCTAGCAGAGATTCTTTGAGGAATTGGGAGAGGGCAGGCTAGCAGAGATTCTTTGAGGAATTGGGAGAGGGCAGGCTAGCAGAGATTCTTTGAGGAATTGGGAGAGGAAAGGCTAGCAGAGATTCTTTGAGGAATTGGGAGAGGGCAGGCTAGCAGAGATTCTTTGAGGAATTGGGAGAGGGCAGGCTAGCAGAGATTCTTTGAGGAATTGGGAGAGGGCAGGCTAGCAGAGATTCTTTGAGGAATTGGGAGGGTAGCTGTAGGTGCCGATGCGAAAATGCGTTTCCCATGTGAAATTGACCGGAAAGGGTCAAACTTTTGCAGGGGCTGAGGCCAAGATCTTTCCGCAGGATCGGTTTTCTAAAAATCTAAGAACCTCTCAGCCTCTTTAATACAGTTTTGACAACGTTCCGGGCTCCTACAAAAACCTCGAATTTTCTCGAATTTTCCGCTTTTCCTCTAGACACCAAGATACCAGGCGGACAGTGGCCAGGCGAGTGGCCGCTGTAAATTTGCATAAGGCCGAAGGGAAAATGGGGTCCTCAAGATGGGGTCTTGAGGGCTTGCAGCTGGGTGGGGGACACTGGGGTGGACAGCAGATAGACACAGGAAGCATCGCTTCTCTTTCTTTCGACTGATGGAGAAGAAGCCGATGGCAGCCCCGATTTCCACCGTAACCCGGCCGGCGAAGACCCTTGTATGGGAATGGCCACTGCAGGGAGGCGATGGAAGGGCTCAAGTTCAACTCGACGCCCGTTCCTTCCAGGTACGGTACCGTTTTTAAACTCTGGTTTATGGTAAAATCAGGGCTTTGGTGTTTAAATTTGTTACCTTGCATAGTTTATTAAAGGTTAAAATTGATAATTTAACAATTTCGATTCTTAAAAAAACTTTTACAACTTGAAAACGTGAAAACCTGAGAAATAAATCGTTAGATTACGGTCATAAATTAAGAAATTATGCGGAAAAACGCCCCGAAAAATACATAAAAACACAAATGACCTCCAGAAATACACAAAAAATATTGGCTTGCCAGTGTTCAAGCTTTA